TGAATTTGGCAAAACCCCTTCAGTTCTGTTTATCTTGGAATGTTTTTATTACACCATCATATTTCATTGACAGCTTTGCTGGGAAGATGATTCTTGGTTGGTAGTTTTTTTCTTTCAGAATTTTATATATGTCGCCCCATTGTCTTCTTGCTTGCATGGTTTCCGCTGAGAGATCATAACTTAATCTGATTTGCTTGACTTTGTATATAACGCTTCCCTTTTCCCTCACTGCTTTCAGGATTCTCTCTTTGTCTTTGATTTTGGAGAGCTTGATTATAATGTGTCTTGGTGATTTTCTTTTGGGGTCTATCCTTCCTGGTGTTCGTTGAGCTTCTGGAATGCTTATCTTTTCATTTTTCAGGATGTTGGAGAAATTTGCTTCCAGCAGCTGTTCAGCTCTCTCCTCTGTAGACTTGTGTGATTGTTCCTGTTCTGGAATGCCGATAATTCTTAAGTTATTCCTCTTCATGTTGTCCAACATGAATCTTAGACTTTCTTCAGATTTTTTAAATCCTTTTTTTCTGCTTGCTTTTCTATCTTAGCTGTATTGAGAGATTTGTCTTCCAGCTTGCTAGTTCTGGTTTCCATCTCTTCAGCTCTACTCTTTTGTCCTCTCAGAGTATTGTTCATTTCTCATATTTTGTTATTAATCATTTGGACCTCTTTTTGCAGGTTTTGAATGGTTTCCAATGCTGTATCTATCTTATTTGATTGTTCCTGTAGTGCTTTCCTGACTTCTTACTTGTTTTTATCAAACCTTCTGTGAAGTGTTTGGATACATTTCAGAATCATTTTTCTGAATTCCTTCTTAGGCACTTCCAAAGACTATCCTGCTTCCAATATGATGTTTAAGTCTATTTCCTGCTCATTTGTCCCAGTCACTTTATCCTGTCTAGATATGGTCATCTGTTTCTTGGACATCTTCAGGAGTTAACTGTGACCTCAATTATTAGACAAATGTATGTTGATTTTTTATTATGCTTCCTGATTGCCTCCAGGTAGATATGATCAGGAGATGGGCTTCCCTTTTCACTCTTCTTATTACTCAACTCAGAGTAACTGTCACAGATGTTGACTGCCTATCTAGGGTATGGCAGCTGGTATTGGCTTTTACCTGGATAGTGGGATTTTATAGGGTGTGATTGTAGCTTGACTGTATGACCATAATTGCTGTCTCTTCTTGGGTAATGTAGGGAGAGAAAGAGCCCCTAAAGGTAAAAAAAGGGACCAAAAACCAAAACAGGAACCACAAAAAAGATAGATTGGATACTGTAGTCTATAATCACAGAAAAGAGAGAAAAGAAAGAAAAAAAAAAATCGGTAACAAAATATAAGTACGACTTTAACGTCCCTTTTTTGGCTTCGTGCCTTCATGGCCACCTGAGAAATTTCAAGATGTCACTTTTGGTCATGATGATGTAACTCGGGATTTAATTTTTGGCCTGTTTCCTTTTTAGTCTGTCTCCCACTCCACATCCCT